AATACTGTAATAAATGTATTGTTCATGTTAGTTAATACATTAACTAGCATTAACTAATGGAACCTTATTGTAAGGTGTTACCCTTATAATTATCTATGCAATAATTAACTTCTTTTTATTCATTGTTACAAATGTATTCAAATGTATTTGCCTTTTTATTTAGAATTTTTGAATAATTTATTTAATTATTTTTTATTTGTAGGAAATGCAAAGTCAAACTCCTGGAAGGCTGGGCAAAGGGCACAAAATAAATTAATTTCAAGGGGGAAAAAAAACTTTGTTAGGTGCATACAGTGGATTCCCAGTTTGATGTAAAAGGAATCAAGAAAAAACATGGGAACACTAAAACAAATCACATTATATGTTGCCCTGTGTGGCTTCATTTCCCCATCTAGTGCATTTTCCTTGAAGAACTGCACAATCAGTACTCCCCTAAAAGACATCCAGCTGAAAGTACTTTGCTACAAAATGGGCTTTTTCAGGATTCCGTGGATACCTAGAAATACACGGATTTTAGATATTTCCTTCAATGCCTTTGCGCAGATCCATATTGGAGACTTTAATCATTTGTCGAACTTACAGGACTTGAACATATCCAACAATAAGATCTCGCAGATTCAAGAGGGTGCACTTGACAATCTTTCCAAATTATCCCATCTCAATCTGGCCAGCAACAGACTACAAGGAATCTCGAGAGGTATGCTGCATGGTCTAACCAACCTGCTGGTGCTACGTCTGGATAACAATTATATTAAAGACATCGAAGTGTCAGCTTTCAGCACGCTTCAGAATTTAAAGGTGTTAAACCTAACAAAAAACCATCTCCATTATATAGAGAAAATCAAGCCGGTTCTTGCATCACCATATTTGGAGGAACTGTACATTGGAAGCAACCATTTTGATGCTTTCAAGTCATCTGAAATGTCAACAAATCCCTTGTCATTAAAAAGACTTGATTTTTCCAACAACCCTTTTGCAACATTTGAGCTTACTGACAATATATTTCCATTTCTCACTCACCTTGATTTATCTTATTGCGGTCAAAATGTTACCATGACATGGAACGTCACAGAAAAGACATTCTTCACCTCAGTGAAAACACTATACTTCATGGATGTTCATATGTCAGCCCAGAGTGCTGCTAATGTGCTTCAGAGCTTCAATAATTTGTTGAATAAAATCAGGCTTAATGGAAACGTTGAGTTGAACAAGACTAACCTCCTGCTGAACGCATGTTCCCCGATGCTAAAAGTTGTACGGCTAAATGCTAACAAAATAAAACACCTCACCGAGCACATGTTTGATCCCTGTTCTGACCTGACGGAAGTAGATTTAGGAGATAATGAAATATCCCAGTTATCACCAAGTATATTCAGAGGATTTACACAACTAAAATCGTTGCGTTTGCAAATCAATAAACTGACTCAAATAACAAACTCCTTTCAAATGCTTTTCACTCTCGAGTTCATAGATCTCAGTAGAAACAGCATCAACACCCTCGCCTGTGATGATTTTGCCAATTTAACACAAGTGAAAACTCTGTACTTGTACAGTAACAAAATCTCAATCATTAATTCCTGTTTGTTCAAGGACCTGAAGAGTCTTGAAGTCCTCAAGCTTGGAACAAACAATCTGTTAAGGATCGGCGATGCTTTCAGCAATGGGCCACATTCCCTGATGGATCTGCAACTTACTTTTAATAAGCTAAGCAAAATCGAAAAGTACACTTTTAGAAATATGTCACAGCTGAACAATTTGTCCTTACAAGACAATCAGATTTCAGAGATCGAAAGCCATGCATTTGAAGGACTGAAGAACCTGACTTCTCTATTGCTGTCATCAAACAAAATATCAGCTAAAACATTAACCAATCACCAGGATGTGTTCTCAGGCATGCCCAACCTCAAAAATCTAGATTTGTACGCCAACAGCATTTCATTTAGTGATGATCAATTGAAATACCCTCCTTTTAAAGACCTGAAGCGCCTTAGAGTATTGACCTTACACAGTCAACGTCGTGGAATTGGCAAAATACCCTCAAATCTGCTTCAAGGCTTATCCTCCTTGGAAATGTTTTACGCTGGAAACACAAATCTTGCTCATCTGAATCCTGATACATTCAAGTTCAGCCCCCAGCTCTGGTTTTTGGATCTCTCCAAGAACGCGCTGTCTGAAGACCACTCCATCCCGACCGAGTTGTTCCACCCCATTTCGAGGCTAACCAAACTCATCCTTTCGAGAACACAGCTTCGCTCACTGAACTTCCTGATGAACGCAAATCTCTCCAGACTTTCAACCTTAAAAGCTCGGGGCAATGAGATTGACACGATCAACAAAACTCTGATTCAGTCACTGCCTCGACTAGAGGTCCTCGACTTGGAGAAAAACACGCTCACTTGTGACTGTGACAATGCATTCTTCATTGACTGGGCCAAGAATAGTAATTCTACTCAGGTGCTTTATTTGAACAAGTACATGTGTAGCTATCCTAGTTCCTTACGAGGCATGAGCTTGTCCGCTTTCAACACCGAATCCTGCACCTTGAATATAGACTTCATCTGCTTTCTTTGCAGCAGTATTGCGGTCATTCTCACCCTCCTCTTGTCATTTGTCTGGCATTTTCTGCGCTTTCAGGTGGTTTATGCATACTACCTCTTCTTAGCCTTCCTTTACGACAACAGGAAGAAGCAGAGTAGTTCGACGTTCCAGTACGACGCCTTCATTTCCTACAACACCAAAGATGAGCCTTGGGTAATGGAGGAACTTATTCCAAAATTAGAAGGAGAACAGGGCTGGAGATTGTGCCTTCACCACCGAGACTTTGAACCAGGAAGGCCAATAATAGACAATATCGTTGATGGCATATACAGTAGCCGCAAGACCATCTGCCTGATCACTAGGAACTACCTGAAGAGCAACTGGTGTTCAAGTGAGGTCCAGGTGGCGAGTTTCAGACTCTTTGATGAGCAGAAGGATGTGCTGATTCTGGTGTTCCTGGAGGATATCCCCACACATCAGCTCTCTCCGTACCACAGGATGAGGAAGCTGGTGAAGAAACGAACCTACCTCCGTTGGCCCAAACCTGGAGAAGATACTAAGATCTTCTGGCAAAAGCTAAAAATGGCTTTAGAAATCAAAGAGGGTCATAAATCAGATTTTTTAACTCCATGATGATATTAGAATTATATGGTATGGGACTTCCGGTAACGCGCGAACACTGATGGCTGCGTGAGAGAACTGCTCTCCCAATAAATACTCCTAAAAGCCCCTAATCATTCGAATATCGAACAAATGTTAACATAGAACATTGCAATGGAAGGCGGGGCAAGGATGGAAACAAGGGCAAAACAAAAGAAAATCCCAGGTCGTCAAGATAAGATAGAAGTTGGAGAAGAAACGGGTGAAACGGAGCCAATCGCTAGCCGACATGCTAACGCTGAGGGGGAAATTGGCTTGGAGAAAATACTCGAAGAGCTGAGAGAATTCAGGAAGGAAAACAATGAAAAACTAGCGGATATCAAGGAAGATTTGAACAGTACGAATAAGAGGATTGAATAAGCCGAGCATCGCATTACGGAAGCAGAGGAACAAATACAACAGACGGGAGAGGTGCTAATTGAACTGCTAAAACTTCAGACTCAGCTAGAAAGTAAGCTGACCGATCAAGAGGGCAGGTCTAAACGGGATAACATCCGAATATACAGAGTACCTGAGGACAGTGAAAACGGCTCATCGACAATCACGTTCATTGAAAAATTACTGAAAGATGGGCTGGATCTTAATCCATCGACAGAGCTCCAAATTCAGAGGGCTCATAGAGCTCTGGCGCCAAAACCAACGGACAGTGCAAGACCGCGCTCCATTGTTGTGAAATTTCTGAGCTTCAAAACGAAAGAAGACATTCTGGGGCAGGTGTGGAGAAAAGGAGGCCTGAAGTGGAACAACGCCCGAATCACATGCGACCACGATTACCCCCCGGAGGTTTTAAAAAAACGTAATATGCGCAGGCGAAAACAGTGTTAACAGAAAAAGAGATCAGGTTCCAGACCCCATATCCTGTGAAACTCCGTGTATTCTACGAAGGCGAAACAGCATTGTACAACTCGGCAGAAGAGGAGACAAAAGACATGAAGGCACGGGGTCTACAGGTGGAGGTCATCCGGCCACAGCATACGCTGCTCGAACGCCTCCAGCGCCGAACTTGGACAACGAAAAGAGGACGAAGCAAACCAGGGGAAACTACCTCGGCACCGGATTACGTGGAGCGACTGAAAAGTTTCAGACGAAAATGAATGGCAACTGTGATGCATCCTCGGAACTTCCCTAACGTTACACTGTCTGTTTATTCTGGAGAACATGGATGGACAATAATGGAACCGTGTTATCACAGGTCTGGCTGTATTTTTCTTCTTTTTGTTTTTGTAAGTAACGTTACAGTTATTCACGTAAACCTGGGTAGGTTTTTTTTTTCCCCGGCTGTTTTTTTTTGTTTTTGTAAGTAACGTTACAGTTATTCCCGTAAACCTGGGTAGGTTTTTTTTTTTTTTTTTTCTTTCCCCTCTTGTATGGTAAAAGCGGTAGCCCTTCCAAGTTTTTATTTATTGTAGATTTAATACTGTGAGATTTTTTTTTTTTTTACTTGAACCATTATTTATCAAGCTGTTTTGTCGGTAAGGGCCCTCACTCCAATTTACAGGATTGAGGTTTTTCACTGAGAGCCAAATTACCATGCAGGCTCGAGAAAGGTCCATAGACGGTGGATCTCATTTGTGGAAGTCACTCGTGGTGTTAAAAAACTGTTTTTGTTCATTTTCTTGTTGAATGCCTTTGTACATAGTTTGATGTTTTTGTGTTTTGTTATACTGCAGGGGAAATGTAAGCATAGTTTTGTTAAGGTCTACATAAGTGTTGATATAAACTGCATAGTACATGGTTGGCTCAGACTATACCTTTAAATTAGTTACATATAATATAAATGGAGTCCACAATCCCATTAAGAGAACTAAGATTTTGTCAAAATTAAAAAAGATAAGGTTCAAGTGGCATTTCTACAAGAGACTCACTTGAATCAGACTGAACACTCTAAATTGGCACGAAATGGATTTAAATATGTATTTTCTTCATCACATGTTTCTGGCAGGAGGAGGGGAGTTGCTATTTTAATATCAAACAAACTTAGATATGACCATCAGACCGAAATTAGAGATAAAGAAGGTTGTTATATTTTAATTAAAGGACAAATTGAAGGTGCTCCAGTTACATTCATAAATGTTTATGTTCCTCCGGGTAGCAAATTTAAATTCTATCAAAAAATCTTTAATATCATCTCAACTGAGGCACAAGGAACCTTAATTTGTGGGGGAGATTTTAATACAGTCCTCAATTCAAAAATAGATACCTCTAAAGTGACAGAGAGATATGTAACTCCTATAGCAAGAAAACTTAAAGCTCTATTAAGAAATCTAGGACTGGTAGACCTTTGGAGAGATTTTTTCCCCAAAGGACGAGATTATACCCATTACTCCCACCCACATTCAAAATACTCAAGAATAGACTATTTATTTATATTTAATAAAGACAGACATAAGGTAATTAAATGTAGCATAGGAACAATGGACCTATCCGACCATGCACCTGTATATGCCTTAGTGAGTTTAAATAGAATTCATATTAATACATTATGGAGATTGAATTCTAGCATTTTAAATAATGAGCAGTTCGTAGTACGTATGAAAACTGAAATTAAACATTATTTAAAAGAGAATGATAATGGAGAAGTATCCCCGTCTGTACTATGAGATGCTTGTAAAGTTGTCTTGAGAGGAAAAATAATTGCAGAAACCGCATTAGCTAAAAAAGACAGGAGAAATTTATGAAATTACAAACAAAGTTAAAAGAGTTGGAAATGAATCATAAAAACATACAAGTCCAAAGACCTGGCCTAATGCAAGAAATTGGAAAAATAAAAGAAGAAATCAATGAGCTACATAATGTGGAAATAGAGAAGAATCTCATATTTCTAAAGCAACGCTATTACTATTCCAAAGGAAGGAAAAGACAAATTAGATTGTGGCTCATATAGGCCTATTTCAGTCTTGAATGTTGACTATACGTTATATACAGCAATATTGACTAGGAGAATAGAAAAACTACTTCCAGAGTTAATTCATAATGACCAGACAGGGTTCATTTTACAGAGACAAACACAGGATAATGTCAGACGTACACTACATATATTAAAACATATAGAAGAGAGTAACATACAAGCAATGATACTGAGTCTTGATGCGGAAAAAGCCTTTGACTCGGTCAGATGGTCATATCTATACATAGTTTTAGAACATTTTGGTTTTCATAAAAATATCCTTAAAGCCATACAGTTATTATATTCAGACCACAAGCTAGAATTAAAGTGAATGGTAGTTTGTCAAATTTTTGTAATCTGGAAAGAGGCGCGAGACAAGGGTGCCCTCTTTCTCCCCTCCTCTTTTCACTATACATTGAACCCCTTAGTCAGTGGATACGCCAGAATCATGATATTAGGGGGATAAAGATGGGTGAAGAAGAACATAAAATTGCATTATTTGCAGATGATGTTTTAATATATTTGAGAGACCCTGAAATATAATTTGTAACCCTTATGTCAACTTTAGATACATTTGGTTCTTTATCAGGATACAAAGTAAATGTGCAAAAAACACAGGTCATTTGCTACAATTTCACTCCCCCAGAAGAAACAAGGGTTAAATACAAGATTAAATATAATATTAATAGAATATATCTGCCAAAGGATACTAGAACTTTGTCAGATGTAAATTATAGAATTCTAAATGCTAAGCTACGAGCAGACATTCAGAGATGGAACGTCATCCCTTTCCTTTACCCTGCATTTTTTTTTTTTTTTCCTCTCTTTTTTTGTGGTTCTGTTCACTCTTCTTTTTCCCTTTTATTTCCTCATTGTATATCATTCAGGTTCTGTAAGCATTACAAAAATGTATACTGAATGGCACAGGAAGTGAGCTGATTTGATTGTAACGCATTTCTTTATTCTCTCAGAATTTTGTATTGTATGTTTTGACTTCCTTGACATAAAAACAAAAAAAAAAGAAGAAGAATTATATGGTATAGTATGCTAAGTGTCTTCCAATAAATTTAATTGGACATTAAGGTTTTTTTTTTTTGTGGAGTGAATTCACTAAACATCGCTGGAGACCCACAGTCCAGTTTGATCAGCTGTTAAATGTGTTGGAAAAGCACTGCACTATATAAATTAGTTGTTGTCATTTTTTTATATGTGAAGTAGACTTTTAGTAGATTATGCATTTTATTTACAAAACTCTGCACTGTATGTATGAATGAATGCACTACCGTTTATGGAGCTTACAATATGACAAAACTAATTGAATTTGTATTGTGTAAATTTGAATTATTGACAAGTGTCATTTAACAAAACTGAATATTATGTGGCATTTAACATAGTTCTGAATTTAATTACATTTTTTTTTTTACTTGAATATTAAACATTTGAAATTTAACACAACTGAATATTTTTATGGCAGAGTTTTATAGACATGTATTTTCAAACAGCAATTTTTTTTGTTCTGAAATCTTTGACTGCAAATATCCAGTTTTTAAAAATAGCCTACAGCTAGTAAGTTTTCAAGATGAAGAGGAAATTCGGAACATCAAATTCAATATTCTAAAAAAATTCAGATTGTAGAGAAAGTAGGTCAGAGGTAATCCACAGGGAAGAGTAGATGATCTCCGAAAAGTCAAATGAAGAATTTTGGCCAATTAGTAGTTTTCTGGCGTGAGCGTGTGGTTTAAGATTTACCTGATCATGAATCGCCCAGAGGTAGCCTAAGTGATTCTTAAACATTTATGGTTTATATATACGTATATGTTAGGTTAGCATTCTCAGATGTGAAACATTTGTCTAAGAGGTCTCTGGTGTTTGTTTTAAAGTATATTTGGTGTGAAAGTGATTAGCATGCCACCGTGTCTACACAAGACGCGAGCGAAAGCAAAAAAAAGACAGTAGAGCCCATTGATAATCATTGATATTTCCTACACTGGATGCGGCACGGCTATTTATTATTATTATTGATTATAATAAATAGGTTCTGCTGTCTTTTGTCGTGACGCGTCTCACTGCTCGCTTCCAGTCTAGTATCCATCCAGTCTTAATTGTGTATTGCTGTACACCCAAAGCACTTTACAATCATGAGGGGGTCTCTCCTCAACCACCACCAGTGTGCAGCATTCACCTGGATGATGCGACGGCAGCCACAGGACAACGACACCAGTGCGCTCACCACACACCAGCTACAGGTGGAGAGGAGAGAGAGTCAAGCCAATCAAGTGGATGGGGATTATTAGGAGGCCATGATAGACAAGGGCCAGGGGGGCAATTTGGCCAGGACACCGGGCCACAGGGTGAGCACCCCCTGCTGGCCTCACTAACACCTCTTCCAGCAGCAACCTAGTTTTCCCAGGAGGTCTCCCATCCAGGTACTGATCAGGCTCAACCCTGCTTAGCTTCAGTGGGCGACCAGTCTTGGGCTGCAGGGTGATATGGCTGTGGCCAAATATATTATATAGGATAGGATTGTAGGTTCATACAGTGTGCCTCTTGTAGTCTTGTAGTCCTCTGTAACGGCATCCAGAATAGATTATTTTTTATATGAATAATAAAATCGCTATATAGGCTCATTCCAGGTGTTTAGGAGTGTGGGAGTATTATCTCGCTTACTATATTCCTGCGGAAAGAACTTAAAATAAACGTGTGACTAATTGACTAGAAAAAAACTTTAGTCTGGGGTAGGCCTACTTGGCACAAGGAACCGATCCATTTTTAAAATAATATGCTATGACTTTACTAATGACTGCAAATCACGTCACGTATTGCATTGCAAGAATTATCCATGTGAGTCAAATGTTTTTATTTTATTTCATCTTTTTTATGTATGGGGGTGCTAGCCCCTAGCACCGCCCAGTAAAGACTATTATAGTGACATACAGGAGTCATACACTAGGCGTGCATGTGTCCATTATTACTGATGCGCAAACAAACCTGCACTCATTGCGCATGGATCGCTATAACATATTTCTGCTTGAACACAGTTCTGTATATTCATGTAGTTGTCAAAATTAATGTACAGCAAGTGTTTTATAACAGATGCTCGCTGAAGAAGCGTGTTTTGGAGAGGTTTCTGAGGATCAGTTATGTACATATGTGACCCTGGACCACAAAACCAGTCATAAGGGTAAATTTTCCGAAATTGAGATTTACAGTATACACCATCTGAAAGCTAAATAAGGTTTCCATTGATGTATGGTTTGTTATGGATAAGATATTTGTTATAGGACAATGGATATTTGTTATAGGACAATATTTGGCTGAGATACATCTATTTGAAAATCTGGAATCTGAGGGTGCAAAAAAAAAATATATATATATATAGAGAAAATCGCCTTTGAAGTTGTTCAAATTAAGTTCTTAGCAATGCATATTACTAATCAAAAATTAAGTTTTAATATATTTACAGTA